TAATTATATTATTGTGGGTTGAAAACCCTACATGCTCACCAGGCTCCCAAGCCTTACCCACTCAGTTTTATTTGCATTACAGGTAATGGCACAAGAGTATAAGTTGGTGGACTTGACGAGAGATTTTGGATTATAGACCAGTAGTTATAAATGACTGTTGTAAGGTCTATTTAATACTGTTTATGCTTTTGGTCTGTATCGGAACATGACATCCCGAGGTTTTATTATTAATGAAAAGTACATTCTCTTTGATAAATGTTTTGATAAATTCTTATAACATTTTGTTTTGGGAACAAATTCCGCAACTCTTTTAATCAAAGAATTACTCTGATTTTATAAAACGAAGCATAAACAAACCGGTCTTTTCTGGCCGTGAATTTGGGGATGTCACAGTTTAGGCCATATGCCATAGGTCTTAAGCCATAACAACGTTGAACCTTTTTAAGGCATGTATATAACAGTTCTCAAGATTCCAATAACAACATGGAACCTTTTAAGCTTGGGCCTTTCTCCACAAGCCATTGACACTGTGTACGCTTTATGCCTTGTGCCATAAGTCATATGCCTTAAGTCGTAAGTCATAAGATTTAAGATTTCTTCCCTAAACTATAAGCCATAGACCCTTTGTCATACCCTATGAGCCCTAAGCCCTAAGCCATATTTCAGAATCCCTAAGCGCTAAGCCATAAGGCATAATCCCTAAGTCAATAAACCTAAAGCATAAGCCTATGTCATAATCCCCAAGCATAAGCCCAATGTCATAAGCCTTTTCCCTATCGCATAAACAATAAGTCATAAGCCATAAATCATAGGCCTTAATCCATAATACATAAGCCCTTAACCTTAAGCATAAGTTCTAAGCTCTAATCCATAAGTCATAATCCCAAAGCCATACACGATAGACCCTAACCCATAAGTAGTATATTTATTTGTGTTTTTAATATAATAATAATAATATTAGTTTTTTATTGTTTTTTTACAGAAAAAATCTTAGTGATAAATTAATTATTAATTTGTGATATGCTATAACCGAGAGCAAATGTTTAGAATGGATTATTTTATCGATTTATTTTTTTTATTTTTTTAAAAAATAAATTTATTTTATTTTGTAAACTGACCAAAATATGTACATTTTTTTACAAAAAACTTTTATCATTTACATAATCAAACATTTTATTCAAGAAATATACATAGAGTCATAGAGTTATAGGTAACAATTTTTTTTTATCTATGTAAGCATCATTTATTTTTTCAAATAATTTATTCATAAAAAAGTTAATAAAAAATGATATGTGAAAAAAGGACAATAATGGTAGCTACCTATCACACTTAATCGATATTTTTGAGAAAATATAATACTTTAACAATAAATATTGAAAAACATGATATTACTATGAAAAAAAAATACTAGTATGATAGGAAAAGTTAAAAATTATATTGTTATTCGACTATTTCTTAAATTTTGCTATCAAAATTAAAAAAAAAACAATTAATAAAGAAATGAGAAATCAAGTAAATATTGATCCAAGGTTTTGGGGTTTTGGAATTGGGATGAGATCTTGATTCTTGAATTAAAAAGAAAAAGCAAACGATGCAAAAATTTCATTCAACCGGGAAGAGATATGGAGATGTCCACTAACATATTTGGCACGAAATTCAAAACCCTCAAAATCTTCCCCACAATTCAACCAAGCGCGCCTTTTACCCCCAATTTCTTGCCCCCAAAAACCATTTACGAGATTTCTACAACTCTTGATTCAATTGCAGTAGCAACAAAGCTCACTCCTTTCTTCACCCTGTGTTCATCTATTGTTGCTTGCACAATTCACTCAATAGCCCAAAACTTTAACAAATTTTTTTTTGAATCTTTCCTTCCACCTTATAGGGTTTTCGGTTGTTTCTGGATCTGTACCCGTGTTTCTATATACATACATAAATAGCGTCTGAATTCAAACACGAATCTACGCTTACACAACGAATCTACGCTTACACAGGTTTTGAATTATCGACTTTTGTGGGTTTTAATGGCTTCCGATATGGAAACCCTAGAGAGTGAAAAACAAGAAGACGTTCCCGACGTCGAAATGAAGGACAAGGAGGAATCCGAAAAGAAAGGCGAAGAAGAGCAAGAGACTAAAGAAAAAGACGAAGAGAGCGAGGATGAAGAAGAAGCTAAAGACGAAGAGAGCGAAGATGAAGAAGAAGAAGATAGCGCGAAAAAAGCCGAAGGCAGCTGGAAGAAAAAGAAGACCGATTCGAGTTCTAAATCACCTGCTACGCCGACTGAGAGGCCAACCAGGGAAAGGAAGACCGCCGAACGCTATACGACAATCTTTCTGCTAGCAAACCGATTTCCATACAACAAGTATGTTACGATGGAAATCCCATTTATCTTTCATTGTTGTTCTGATTAGAAATCGTGTAAGTTTTCTTACTTGCGTTTGTACGAATGGATACAGGGCCCCGGATCTCAGCTCAAGAAAATTCCAAGCGGTGCATATCTTGATCATCTCTGTGCTTGATTTATGTTCGGTTCTAAAGTTGGATTTGAAAAATTATCAAAAAGAATAAACCCTCGAAGCTCTTTAATCATTCATAGGGAAAAAACTATAATAACAGTACATGATTGTTCTCTATACTTTCTTGTGAGATTCTTGCAGAAATTTGAAGCTTATAACTTCTGAGAGATAGGTTAGTTTGATGTATAGGTTAGAGTGAGTTTTTTTCTGAGTTGTAATTGTATCCAAGAATTATTGACATAATATGAGAGTTCTTTTTTACTTTTGGGTTGAATTTATGTATTTTGACATCATGTTTGATTCCTTTCTAATAGAAACTTATCATGTTGGTAAATATTTGTCCCTGATTCACCTTATAAGTTGTTTCATTTATATGTGTGTCTGGTGTGTTCTTATCTCTAAGTGTTTGTATTTTTCAAGGTACTTTTGGTATTTTATGTATGGTTATGATGTGTTATGTATTTAAGTAAATTCCTATAAACCACATTGCATTAGAACGCATAGTCTTTTGTCTTTTTGATTTGGATTTGAAGTGTTACTATGTCATGAAAAAAATTATGTTAGTATTTTTATTTGGATTTTCTGTTTTATTGTATGATCGTATTTTCTTCTGACAGTTAGGTAGTTTAAGTTCTCAACTTTACCAATTAAGTAGGTGGTATTGGAACTTGGACGAGAGAAATGAAAAACTTTTTTTAGAAGGTTTTAGATGTTGGTAAGTTGTATTTTGATTAATTATATTGAAAATAACATGTATTAATGCAACTGGAGATTAGGTCATTGCCTCAACTAAAGTATAATTCGGTCACTATTTTAACCTCACAACTTCGATATAACATAAACTGCATATTATAGCAATGTAGTTTCGTTATGCAATGTTAGACAAAGTTGTATTCTTTTCATTTATTTTTCATACTTTTCTGTTAAAGAAAGTTGTATTCTTTTCAGTTTTTAATGGTGTATGATCTGGTGCAATTAAAAGAATAGATGACAAAAAGAGCAATTTGGTCATTTCTTATAGCTCTTATTCAATACAACTATAATGTTATTTGTTTTTGTTTTTATTATTTTTTTTTTGTTTTTTCAGAAATTGTTTCTGTTGAGGTAACTTTACAAAATTGTCATTCAATTTTTTTCATTAATTTATACAACCCTTTAACTGCAAAAAAAAAGCAATGTACTTTTGTAAAATGACATGATTGACCTTTTTGTTCATTTTTTTATTCTGCCAAATGATATCAAAGATAAAAATAGTCAAATTTATGAGTCTTCCAAAAAGTCTAAAATTGTCATTTTTTTGTATAATAACGTAACCAGGAAACAATTTCAGTTTTACAGCAACAAATTTTCATTTTATGAAGAATATTCTTTAAACTTACAAATACAATAGTAAAACCAGAATGAACATTACATAATTATAGTAACATATTCAATGAACGACCCCTAATTATACCGATAAGACATTATTGTTCTTCTATAACTATATTTACATATAGACACATATAATAGTTGTAATCATAACTAAATGCTACCTACACTCACAATATTTGTTTCTTCTCAAAGTCAATTCATCATATTTTGACACACATAATAAAATGTACATGACCATAAACAACCAATACTAACTTGTTTTCTTTTCTTGTGTTAACTAAGTACAACTAGTACAGAACCGCCCTATGAACACACAAATATTTAGTGTGACCATATGTATCACCTTTTAGCTACTTTGTTTGTTATGTGTCTAAAAAGGCACCATGTTATAGACACACATACAACTGCCTCATGTCAACATACGCTTATCTACTGTCTCTCATAAAAAAAAGTACGACAATGATAATCGGTATCTGTGGCCGATTGTGACCTATGGCCTCAATGTTCGAGTGTGACTAATATTTGTCACATTTGGTATAATTAAGTGTGGTTAAAGTTTTGATTATCTATACAATAGCCACACAAACTAATTTAAATGTATCCAAAAACAGTTTGTAAATTTTTTTAATGACCTTTGGCCACACTTTTAATAAAAAGTGTGACAGGCCGTTTTTCGGAAAGCGTGGCCGTATGTCATTTTTGTACTAGTGGACAAAAGCAATAAGTGTCACTAAAGGGTTTTAATGGGAGCGTTTCTAGTGGCACTCATTATGTGTGCCGCTTTTTGTGGTTTTTAGTGGCACTTTTTGTGTGCCACTAAATGACATATTTTTTGTAGTGTAATGACAAGGGTTTTTTCGACGAACAACTCCGTCACTGGAAGCCTTTAACGGATTTAGCGATGAACTTGTCTGTCGTAACTCTGTTTCGTGTAGTGAGAATTGTTCTCCTCCACCATCGTCTTCTGTGACAACGTCAATGTTGCTTACATGTTGGCCAATACAATCCAACGTCAGCTCAAAACCTATTGAAATTGACATTCACTTCATCAGTATAATAAAATTGTTTTGGCCCTAACTCAAATTGTTGGGCTCTCAATATATAGATAGTTTCACGAAAGATCTTTCGTCTTAAACTATTTCATGAGTTCCGGTCAGTTTTAACGGCTGGACAAACCTCCCGATATATAAAACTGCAGGAAGATGTTAAGATATATATATAACTTATATTTATGTTTAACCTCCCAATATATAAACAGGATGTTAACATTTAACATAGACTTTATATCTATGTTTACTGCAACACTTTCGATCGATCATGTGTATCATCCATATTGTAATGTGTATAATTGGAAGGCATCTATTCACATTGGAAAAATACTCTCCAACACAAAAGTTCATCAAGAGCCTCGATCGATAAAAGTTTTTTCGACAGCCATTCGAGCTACCTTTAGGGTGCTCTTATTGGGCATCACCAAATTGTAATAGAAGAACTAATTAGCTTTTCAAAACGAATACAAGAGTTTAAAGAAGTTATTTCTTTGTGCATGATGTCGTAGTACTCTGTCAGCTCGATCTTCGGCTTGTTTCTACAAGGGGTATTTTTTTATTGGTAAGACTATTTTCCATGTCGCAATACTACATCCAATAAATGGTTTTCATAAGAAGGTGGCGTTTTTGTTATTAGAAGATGAAGTCCCCAACTTTTCAACGGACAATGGATAAAAATTGCCGGGTTCTTGTTTTAGCCTACATAAAGCCCAAAATGAACACACTAAAACATCGTTACCAAATTCATCATATATAGTTGGAAAATACTTAAGGACAACATGAACCATCCCGACATGTTATGTATCGAACTCATAAACTTAATCCACATAGTCATCAATGTGTATATGATGCACGTATGAAACCAGATGATCAGTCGTTTAAAACCTGATCAGCTCCTCGCATTGACAACTCTCTCTACAACTCTCTCTCTCTCTCTCTCTCTCTCTCTCTCTCAAAACAAGGATATTAAGAAACAAAGATGACCAGAGTGATCTGGTGATCTGATGGTCAAATGAAGAACAAGTGCCTTCTCTTGCAGCCATAGATCATGGGTTTCCAGCTTGAACTAGTTGACCTATGTATGCCAGGTGCCATGTGAGCACCACCATTGTCGAGAAGTTCAACGTCGACGAGTATGTGCTTAGTTGTAGTTTCTCTGATGATACAGTACTTTTTGTTCCACTGTCCTCCTTTATCTTCTTTATCTATTCAAGCACCCAATCAAGAAAAATCCACGTTAGAATAACCTTTCTATGGATCAAGAAACTAGAAATAAGATATTGTAAAATAGATGCATCTTACCTTTGTTGCTCTAGGCTCCAAAAACATCATATTGATCAAATTCATAAGAAGCGCAGAGAGGAGATTAAATCCTTGAAATACCGCCATCTTGTTGGACAAAAAGAACAAATTTCTCCCGAGGCTTACCAGATACCCGATGAAAGCTGCCCCGATACAATACGACATTGCCCTGAAATACACCATGTGCAACTTATTTATGATCATTCCGTACTGTCGCTTAGGTAGACACTTGCCCAAAACAGAGCTCGAAAAGAACGTAACCCACACTCCCATCCCGTAAGCTGTCGAGAACCCTAATAAGTGACACCAACTGATCACTGATTGTATCTTGTCTATTAATACTGTCGCCATACTGGTAGATCTTGTTAGAAGATCATTCCAACTAGTTTCTTGTACAGTTTTCACTGTTTCTCTCATTTCTTCCACCCCTTCTTCAACTTTCCGGGTAGCGTTACTTTCAATATCTTCCCCTATTCGCTTTGGTGAATCTACAAGATCCCATTGTTCCACTTTAAGTACCGAGTCTTTAAGCGTTCCTTTTGTGCCTTCCCCAGAGGTAAACAGGCCTAGTGGTTTCCCCACAGCATTTTTCACGATTCCAGCCACATCCTTGGCCTTTTCTCCGACTGCTTTAAACTTTTCCGATAGTTTTTCCGATAATTTGACTTTAGGATCACCAACTTTCACCACTTCATCCGTTACTTCTTTCACCTGCTCTTCGAAGTTGTGAAGCTCGCTTGAAACATCAATGCGTTTACCAGAAACAACGTTTTTCGTCTTCTCGATTACGTTCGCAAGCTTATATCTGCACTTGCCGAAGAGCTCTCTCGGCCCAGCTGCGAAGCCACCGGCGTCGATCTTGGCATCGTCGTCGTGTTGTGAAATCGAAACTTTGGTGTTCCCGTCGGGTTCTTCATCGAATTCGACGACAAATCGGTGGTGGTGAGGAGGTGGAGAAGGAGACCAAGTCGCTCCAGTTACCAGCGACGTTAGAACAAGACAAAGGAACACAAGATGCATCGTCTTGATCGACAACTCTCGATTGTTAAGTCTAATCGTTATTGAATTGACAGAGGGACGGTAAGGTCGGTAGATGCAGACCATGGGCTTTAAAGATATGGATGAACAGCAAACGTGGGAGATGACGATCGCGGTGTCTGGACGCGTGTGTGGTGAATGGTTGCATTGTATGATACGTGTCTTCGCCATGAGAGTCTGTCTAGCCGTCAATCGTATTTGGTCGAATCGAGTTCCATAGGTTTGCTGGTGCTTAGATGATAAGCTTATTCTCTTGGAAACTGCGATGACCAAAAAGATTCTGATTTCTTTTGACTTTAATATATGATCGGATACATGAGACGACTCATGTGGCCGACATATATACGGATATGCCACAAGCAAACTCATATCTCCAACCTCTACGATATCTTAAATTTCGGTTCTTTTAACAGCCAAAAATTAATTAAAATGCAATTGGAAAATCAAATATGTTATCATGTTATTTTCACCTTATATATAGAGTAGGGCATTCACTATATAATAATTAAGGGTAGTGATCTATAGATAATAATTTTTGGTCATACACAACAATTTGAGCTTTATAGAATTGTACAGTACAAACATATAAAACACAAATTTTTGTGTATGGCTAAAAACTCCCAACACGGCTGCCAAACACCCTAAACAAACCCAAACAATCACATAACTAAGGGGTTTCAAGATTACTACCTACATAAATATAATATTAACATTCCCATTTAATCAACACTATACAAGAGTTTTAGAATTTCCCACCATGACACATGTTCAATTTTCATTATAAACGAGAATCCACAACTCCAAGCACAGTGATATCAGACTTTCTGGAAACTAGACTTGTAGACTCGATTTCCCATATTTTTCAATTTCATTTTATCCATAATGAGGGCAATCATTGATTATGAGCACCAGTTAGTTCGGGTCCGAACCCCAAGTGGGGGAGAACTAGTCACCCATGGCGATGATGCTCGATGAGGGCCAACTCTTTGTTCAACTGCGAGAGGTAAGAGGTATCTTCAGCAGGGTTGTTATGGTTTTGTAGCTTATGTATTGGATACTAGGGATGAGAGAAAGAGGACGATTGGTGATGTGTCAGTCATTCGAGAGTATTCAGATGTGTTTCCGGAGGACTTTCTCGGAGTGCCTTCGGAGAGGCAGGTTGAGTTATGTATTGATCTGGTTCCAGGTGCGGCTCTGATAGTCAAGGAACCTTATCAGTTAGCACCTCCGGAGATGCAGGAGTTGTCTACACAACTGTAGGAGCTGTTAGACAATAGGTTTATCAGACTGAGTAGTTCACCCTGGGGAGCGCCCAAACGCTTTGTGAAGAAGAAATATGGCTCCCACAGGATGTGCATCGATTACCGGGAGCTAAACAATTTAACGGTAAATAACCATTATCCGCTTCCGAGGATTGATGATTTGTTTGACTAGTTACAAGGTGTGTCTTGGTTCTCCAAGATTGATATGCGTTTAGGCTATCATTAGATGAGGGTTAGGGATGAGGATGTTCAAAAGACGAATTCCAGGGATCGTTATGGTCAGTACGAGTTCGTGGTGATGCCTTTGGGCTCACCAATGCACTGACAACATTCACGGATCTCATGTACAGGGTTTACAGGCCGATGTTGGATTGGTCAGTGATTGTTTACATTGATGATATCTTAGTATATTCTAAGACCAAGGAGTAACATGAAGATCATCATCGAGAGGTTCTAGAGACTCTAAGGAGGGAAAGATTGTATGCCAAATTCTGCAAGTGTGATTTCTAGTTGCGTGACATGTAGTTCTTGGGGAGCCTCTTCAATCAGAAGGGTATATTGGTTGATCCGACCAAGATCAAGGTCATGATGCAGTGGGAGGTTCTGAAGTCTCCATATGGGATTCAGAGTTTCCTTGGTTTAGCTGGGTATTATCGAAGGTTTATTTAGAATTTCTCCAGGATCGTAGTTCCCTTGACCAAGTTGACGAAGAAGTATGTTGGGGGCCTGAGCAACAGTCGACGTTTGAGACCTCGAGGCAGAAGGTATGTGAGGCTCCGATTTTGACACTACCAGAAGGTGTAGATGATTTAGTGGTATATTGCGATATGTCGATTTCGGGATTGGGGCAATATTGATACAGAGGGGTCGTGTGATAGCTTATGCTTCGAGGCAGCTGAAGCCTCATTAGGCGAATTATCACACCTATGATTTGGAGCTGGGGGCGGTGGTTTTTTCCCTCAATATTTGGCGTCATTACTTGTGTGGGGTTCGTTGTATCATTTACATGGACCACAATTAAAGTATCTGATGGATCATCCAAATCTGAACATAAGGCAACGTAGGTGGCTCGATGTGGTGAAAGATTATGATTTTGAGATCCTTTATCACACTGGGAAGGCCAACATGGTGGTCGATGCTCATAGTCGTAAGGCGGCCAATACTCCTATCAGGGATGTATGTTTGAGGATGACAGTGATTACCCTACCATTGTCTAGAACCCTAACCCTTGATTAGCTTATGTGAGCCCTATTTGTGTGTTCTTGGTGCATAGTGAATGAGTAGAAGCTTTTCCTTGAAGATTGTCGTGGCTAGAGCTTGTAGATCCAGGGCCTTCATCACCTTTGCAAGCTTCTGGAGGTATAAAGCTCATACCTTTATGGTTTTATGGTTTAGATATAGGCTAGGTTTTAGATTTTCTTAACTTTTGGTCCCATGGTTTGGCTCTTGTGAGTAAAAGCTACTCCATAGCTCAAGTTTGTCACTTTATGTTGTTTTTGAGGATCTTGTGTCATAAAAATGAAGTCATTGTTGATATTTCCCACTCATGCAAGTTTTTGAGGTTATTAGAGAGTATTATGGACTTAGGGTTTGGTTTTGGGCTCTATTAAGCCATGAAAATGCTTAAAGTTGACGACTTTATCATTTAAGACCTTCCCAAGATGTAGATCTATGAGTTGGACGTTTAGTCTTTAGGTATTAAGAGCTTAAAAAAGTGGTTTTGGGCAACAGAGGATTACGCAGGGCGTAACCGCTGTTTATGCAGGGCATAACAGATTTAGCCCCAAATTGAGCTTGGTACGCTGGGCATAATGGAGGAGTACGCATAACATACTCCTAGAAGTCCATTTAGGCCATTTTTGGACCTTGGGACATTATGGGCCTTGGGCCATGTTTAGTTGGGTCTAGTATGGGAAAGGAAAAATGGTCTTTTACCCTTAGTAAGAGAGAATGTGATTTGGACATTTGATTATGGGTTATTACCCTAATTATTAATTAGGGTTGGTCTTGGTTATGTCCAGTATGAGGAACCTTTGTAGCAGCAGCTCGAGTGTGTAACTTTTTTATCATCGGATTGAGGTGAGTCTCCTCACAGTATTTTCGAGTCGAAGGCACCAATGTCGGCCCATTAATTTATGTTTATAGGATGCTAGTTGTTTTTGTGACTCTTTCATGTATTGTATGTCTTTGTATGTATATCGGGCAGGGCCCGATGCCAGGCGGTGCCTGATGAATGCGTTGGACGGGGCCCATCACCTGTTATTGACATATATGTACCGAGCGGGGCCTGATGTCAGGCGGGGCCCATTATATGTATGGTATGTGGTATTTTGGGGAACTCGCTAAGCTTTGTGCTTAAAGTTTATATTTAAATGTTTTTCAGATATTTCCGGTTCAAAGGGGAAGGGCCTGGCATGATCGCATCGCATCCATCAGTGTTCAACATTTTATGATTTTGGGATTGTACTCTGATAACTATTTTTCCACATTTTCATACTTTGATGGTTTGAAATGAATGATTGATGGTTTTGTTTGACTTAAAAATAAAAAAATTTACTTATTATTTTTGGTATGTTACAAGTATAGTGAGAATACTCACCTTGCTGATATAATCAATAGCTAACAACTCTCACGGCCAACGAACAATGTTATACACCTCCTAATAAACCACACAATATAAACCCTTAGTCTATCTTCTAAAACTAGAAATTTGACCAAAAGTCAACCCTTGCCAAAAGACAACGGTCAAGGTTAAAGTCAACAACTAAAGCCAACATTCAACATCACTAACAGCCGATTCTCACGTCGTGACCAGCCCATGGTCACGTCGTGGCCAACAACTCAACCCCGATCCAAAACTCAAGATTTGAACAACTCGGTCGCGATCAACCATTGTCACGTCGTGATGGCCATGCCCCGACGTCGTGGCAGAGTCCTTCCAACAATAGCAAAAACTCATCGTCACATCGTGACCTCCATATGGTCATGTTGACTACAACAAATTAGAATAACTTAATGCATCCAGCCCTTAATCCTTTAAGCCATCAATTCCAACTTTCTAGAAGGACTTCATACTCCGAAAACCTTCTAAAAATCGATGCTTTATAGACATGCATATCCAATGCATGTCTTGGTCTCTTATTAAGTCAAAATAATGAAAAGTGGAAGCACAATCATATGAATGTCTTAAAAACTTAGCCAAACTTCAAATCTATTATATATAACACTCAAGGGACCTCAAGGATCCATAAATTTGCCAACTTTATGGAAATTTCCATCCAAACTTCCACAACATGACGAAAAAGGGACAATAAGCCTAGATCTAGAAGCTAACAACATATCATTTGGATATTGAATACTTACAATGGTCTAGAAATGGCTTAAATACAAACTCCAAGCTTGCCAAGAGGTTCTCTATACCACAAGGGCCTTCGTCTTCCCTCCAAGTGCACCAAATCATCAAGGGTAGGCTCACAAATGAAGAAGAAGGTATTAGGGTTTGCTTCAAGGTTCTAGAGGGTGATGGAGGCTGGAAATGAAGCCCTAAATCTGAGATTAATGGTTTAAATATGAAGGAAATCCTAAAAGATCATGGACTTGGGTTGCATCCATCCTTACGCCGTGACCATACCCTTGTCACGCCGTAAGATCCATCCGAAACGCGTTCTCATACTTGGTATGTCGCATCATGACAACCTTCTTGTCACGTCGTGACATGGTTTTCCTTAAAAACCATTTCTTTGACTCCTTAATGTCATACATTGATCAATTCTAAGAGATGGGTGTAACATCCAAGAATATCATAAATGGTTATATTACGTACTGGATGTTTTAAAATTTTGATCATATTCTCATAATACCTAAGCAACTTTTGTTCCCATTCCCAGACTTCCTGTGTGTATAGGTGAAAATTCAAAACATTAAAAGATTAAAGCAAAAGAAGTTCAAATTGGAAAATCATGCAAATCCACTTCCTACTATTATGACAATTACATAATTGAAACAAATTATCCTAATAAATATTCATGAACTTACTTGACATTCAAAGACTTTCAAGTTCTTTTACAACTTCAACCATTGTTAGGCAATCCTGTAGATTTTCTTACA